CTCCACAAAAACTCTGTGGCCATCTTCAAGAGGGGCTTCAGTGCAGTTTGTGCTCTCCATCTTTTAAGTTTGATATCCAAATCTAAAGCTTGAGCATACAATGTACAGGGGTGGGGAATTCACTTGTCAATGAAGCTGCTAATGACATTATCACAGGAACTCGGCAACTAGGGTACCCCTTGAAAGGGAATTCAGGGAATCTCTTGTAAGCATGACATCTGGTTCCACCAAACATCTGAGTAAGCAGAATAGCACTGCAGGCCTGGTGTGACGAGGAAGCTGGGAGATGTGGGAGCTGCTCTGCTGTTCAAGCTGTCACTTTAGCTTGGCTTGGCACAGATAGATTCTCCTTGGCTCTGAAGCATTAGACCCCCTCTTCTGACTGCTGCTGCCCTGCTGGCACCGAGCCAAGCCTTTCATCGGGGAGGTCGATCATCACTCTCACTCTTCTTTCTTCTACTTCTTCTCCAGCGTAGTCTCTCTCAGCATGGCTCTGGCTTCTCTATCACAATCTTTCGCTTTGCATCCTCCCCTGCCTCGTTCTTATCCCATCCCCACCAGAGGCCACGAAATGGGATCCATTATAATCTGCCATTATTTGCGATTCCCAGTTCCTGTTCAGTACTCCAAGCTACTCAGTTGCTTTCTCCTTGCCATCTTTGTTCTTCTCCAAATAGGTGTTCAGCCACTCAGTCACTCCACCCACCACAAACCACTTTGACATGGTAAGACCACCATTTTACCATAAGTATGAAGAGGTATAATAATAATAATAATATAAAACTGAATATTGTTCATCTGAGAAAATCTGCACCTACTGCTGTTTTTGTTGGCAGCTTTTGTATTTTGCAAGTTATTTATTTTGCAACCATAAATATATTCAAAATAACAATGGCAGCTATTAAGAAATCATCTTTTGTTTAGACTGTAGAGGTTATTACTTTATGTACTACAGTTTACTTACTCCTGTGTATTAATTTCTCAAATCAAATGTGAAAACTAAAGGTGTATATTGTAAATTTACACCACAGCCACTAGATGTCCTGTAGAAGAACATAACACTTTGCCAAATGCCAAATATTTGGCTTTTCAGCACAAATACTATACATTTAATACGGTGTGGTTCTTAGCTGAGCAGTTCAGAGAAGTTAGGCACCAAGGTTCAATCCTAGGTGTCACAAAAGGACGTTTTGTGGAGGCCATTCATTACCTAGAAAGGACTGAAATCCATAAATTATCTGAATCAGGTAATTATTCATTCACAAAGGAATAAACTGTTATTGCCTCTAATATATTAAAGATCGAGGCGTTCTCTTGACGCAGTGATCTAAGTGCACGTACAGTGCAGTATAGTAGCTTCAGAAAGCAGACAGACCTCTCCACCTTTTTGTACACTTTGTGTTGTAAGTTTAATTTTAAATTGACAATCTCACCATTTTTACACATCAGTCTACACTCAACAACCCATTATGGAAATCTTTTCAGTTTGTCATTGAGGGTTTGAGTATAGATCCATGGTCAAACATGACAGTTTTAATCACTTAAAGTGAAGCATGCATCACAGATAAGTGCACAAAAAGTGAAGGGGGCTGAATACTTTAGTAATTTAGTCACTGGTCTCTCTATTTTTCAGCACTCTCATTCTGTCCAGTTTCCAAAATAAGCAGACTCAGTAAAACAAAACAAAACAAAAATGCATAGTGTTATGGTCCCTAATCATTATAATCTTTCTATATGCATTGAAATGTTTGTCACTGTGTGTTTTCCTTTAGTGGTGTTCGTTTAATGGCCTGATTCTGGCTGTGTGTGCCTGTTTATTTCATCTGGAATTAGTTCTGCTCTATTACAATCTGTATTTGCATCTTTTGTACCTTTTTAAATCAGCTACCAACATGAAAAAAAAACCCTTTGGTGGTGCTGTTGTTGTTGCATCTTATCTTGTCCTTGCTGTCGTGGTCATTTATGTTCTCATACACAAGCACACACAGCACTGTGCATTTTACTTAGAGCCACTTGTGTATGTGAGGTACTACTCACTTGTCTGGCCTGCCGGGCACCTGCAGGCGTAGGCGACATTTGTTAGCACTCTGGATCTGTTCTTCTTTGATATGAATAAACCTCTGCAGAGCCAGACACCAGTCCTGGGCCACAGTGGTGTTCAGGTTCTTTGGTGGGAAAACACACATAGTTAAAACTTGTTTCTCAGCTGTAGGTCATTTAGCCAAGATGTGCATGCATTAAATGCATAATGAGCACAGGGCTACACTAGCGATGTGCTTACAACATGATATTCTTACACAGACACTCAGAAACAAAGACACATTCTCGATCATAAAACTGCAGTACATTATTTGAAACTACATGGTTGTGGCCTTTTTATCCCCCCAAATGTAAAACTGAATTCACTTCATCACCAACATTCATTTCACAGTAAAACCTAGCCTCTCAAGCCAAATCGAATCAAATCAATTTTCTGAAGTCAATGAGCCCTACAGAAGTGTTTCGTCTATTTGTTCTGTGGGCAATACTGTAACTGGATGGAAAGTGAAAATCAGTCATTTACATAACACCAGTCCAGCATCACTCCTCCTGAGGACATTGTGCTCATTACGTCCAGAGGCAAAGGAGCCACCATTAGCCTGAGAGGCTCTTTGGTGATTGCCTGAGTCTACCCCCTGGCTGTGTGATGAAGCGTATGGCACTGGTAATGTGTTAGTGGCAGACCACTGGGAAGTGTCCTGATTTGAACACTACAGGAGGGACGCTGCAGGTTTCTTCTGCAACGCAGCAAATCTGACACTATCAAAGGAAACACCTTTGTGCCACTGTCAGACAAACAGACAGACACTTTATTGATCCTGAGGAGGAATCTTCAAGTAATCCAGCAGCAGCATACAGAGGACTAATAGGAAAATGTTCAAACTTATGGTTTGATTTGATTTAATTTTTTTGGATAATCCTATAATGAAAAATGGCAACACTTGAGAAGAAAGTGATG